TTGTGAGAAGCAAGGGCAGCAGACTTGCAAGGTTGTCAAGTGGCTAAGCAAGACAAAGTAAAAAATTGAAGTTGTATGTATTAGTTTATTTAGAGTAATTTGTGTTGCATTACCATATAGCTATAAAAGAGGAGAAAGGTTTCAAGTATAGCAATCCATATAATGATCGTTTAAGCAATTGATCAAGCAAAATAAGGTTAGTGCTTTAATTTTGACTAAGTTTATTTATTTAACATTGCATTTTATTATTAGTTTATCGAAATAATTAAATTAATATATATTACATTCATAACGACAATTCCTAGCCAATATTACCCGTAAGTAGGTTTTACTCCCTCATTCTATATTTCCTACTTGTTTTATTCTATTTTATTTCTTTCATATTTGTTTCATTCTATTTTATCTCTTTCCTTTGTTGTGTCTACTATAATTGGGCTTAAATACCCCTCCTATCAAAAGTATCATGCGGCTTTATTCTAAATCCTGGTTCTATATCTAACATGATAACGGAGCCATGGGCTTAAATACCCCTCCTATCAAAAGTATCAAGCGCCGAACCCTCCCTTGCCGCCTGCTCGCCCTTCCAAGCGCGCCTCTAACTCCAGCTGGCTAGATCTCTTCTTCTAGCAGTCGGATGTCTCCTGCCAGCCAAATGACCCACCAGAACTCCTATCCAGCGCCGAACCCTCCCTTGCCGCCTGCTCGCCCATCCAAGCGCGCCTCTAACTCCAGCTGGCTAGATCTCTTCTTCTAGCAGTCGGATGTCTCCTGCCAGCCAAATGACCCACCAGAACTCCTATCCAGGCCGATAAGGCTGCTCCCAACCAACCGAAACTCCAGACCCTGCATCCTACCTATCAAAATTTCTGTACAGTCAGCCAAATCTTCTGTCCAAGCCGCTGGTCCTCTCCAAACCTGCTCCCAACTATCCAGGCCGATAAGGCTGCTCCCAACCAACCGAAACTCCAGACCCTGCATCCTACCTATCAAAATTTCTGTACAGTCAGCCAAATCTTCTGTCCAAGCCGCTGGTCCTATCCAAACCTGCTCCCAACAGTCGGATCTCGTCCGAGCGTTATCTTGCCAACCAGAGTGTCTATCCAACCTCGTCCGGTTGAAATCTACCACACGCAGAGCTCTGTGAGCGCTTCCTCCCCCCAAGCTCGAGATCGAGCCTCAAAGAGCCACTCGAGCCCTCTTTCTCCTCCTTCCTCTACGAGCCACACAAATTCGATAGTTGTCTCCTCCCTTTGCAAGTTGCACGACAAGAGAATCTGTTGTCTCCTTCCTCTTCCAACTCTTAAACGAGCTCCTACAAGCTGCACGAGCTCTCCTTCCTCTTCTGCGGCTCAGTTAGGGCACGAATTCCTCTTCCTCCCTCTTATTTGCTCTGGTGGAGTTGTTCGAGCCCTCTACGTACGAAAAAAGAGTGTCGCACAAGCTCCTCCGATTCTCAGTTAGAGCCCTCTACGTTCGAGCCTTCTTCCCTTCGATTTGATCGTGATCAGTGGAGGGAAACAACCAAGCAAGTTGCTCGCCTCCTCTACCTCCCTCCTCTTCTTCTTCATTTGTTGTGGCTTCTTCTTCTTCTTCTTCTTCTTCTTCTTCCTTTTCCTTCAACTTATACTTCCTCCACCTCACTCTCCCAATCTCTCATGCGTCTGTTGCCTCTCACGCTCGCTTCCACTACTGAGTTCAAATAAGGAGCCGAGGGTATAGCCTAGACTTAATCTTCCCATTGGTGGTGTGAAAGATATTTGAATGACACTTGTGAAGCAAGTGTCGTAAGAATAAAAGTTTTTTTCTTTTTTTTTGTTTATTATTACAACAATTGCCAAACAATTGCCAACGACAAGCTGGACAGAATTCTCAAAACTCAAAACAAACCCTAAAACAAAAAATAAAAAAATTATATATAACAGACAACTAGGAGGGGAAGGCCCCTCTTGGGCTGACCGGCTCTACGCCCCTCTTGGTTGAATCAGTTCAATCCCCCTAGAGACACCGATTTAGTAACTGTTTTTGAATCCGTCATGAGAGTCCTGCGGTCAAATTGCCACGGTCGCTCCAATAATAGGTGGGAGGCATCCATGGGTATCAAGTCACACAAAACCTGATCCTGCAGCCGGCTCTTAATCAAGAACTCCACTAGGCACCTCCAATCAATGCTGATCCGTTTTCTTTTTTCAACCACGCTAGAGAATACGGCTGGGAGTGCTTCTAAGTCATGAGGCCAACTTCTCCTCCATCTGTATAGACGTCATGTTCTTACTGCTCCCCCCACCACTAATGAGACTGCACACCTTCCCATTCACATTACAACATGTGTAGAATATATTGTGACGAACCCACTGTAAATCTCTTGTTTCCTCGATCTGTAAGATCCGTTGAACCATGAGCATTTCACCTTCATCTGGTGGAAGATTATACACATCACTATGTTCTTCAACTGCCTCCTCATCTCTAACTTCTTCCACAAAACCCTGCTCGGTAAAAGACACAACTCTCCTCGTCGGACAGCTGGAGGCCATGTGCCTAAATCAGTGGCATCTGAAGCATTTTCTGGTTGAAACTGTAGTAGGTGTGCTACTTTTCTCAAGCCTTTTCTAAAAAGGGGTGACTCTATCCTTATCCGAACCAGTATTCTCAACTTCCCGAGGTGTGCTCCTACTGGCATCTCCAATTGTGCGTGAGTGTTTGACTGGTGGTGGTTGTTTGCTATGTTTCTGTTGTCTTTCCACCTTCAATGCTAAGGTCTAAACATCTCCAAGTGGCCAATAAAGCTGAAGCTGCACCACATTGCCAATCGCGAGCTTCAGCACCCCCCTCCCCCCAATAACCGGATAGGATGTGTTCCTCTAGCGTAGTCAAAGCACACTTCATCTGCAATTAGTCAAACTGCGCTGTGAACTCCTCCACTGATAGATCTCTCTGTTGTAGGTGGTAAAGTCTCAAAAACATAACTTAGCGATAGTGAGAACTTGTCGATAGTAAGAAGGCATGTATTTTCTCTGCATCGACTTTTGCATCTTCTCCCACCTAATAATCTTGTCATTGTCTTCTCTCTTCCTCTACCTCTAAAAGTTATCCCACCAAGGAAGCACTTTTTCTCATTTTTATAGCTGCGAGCTTCACCCTTTTGATTTCTGGCACCTCTTTGTACCTAAAGATCCTCTCAACTGATTGTAGTCATTCGATAAAATTATCTGGATATATACCTCTATCGAATTATGGTAGATCCACATTTATTCCAAAGTCTCTGTGTCCTCTATATGTAGGCTCCTCTCTTGGTTTTCTATGATACTGGATTCTAACACGTTGTGACCATTCTTTATCATCACTGAAATCCTCCCTATGGAAAGGTTTGAAATTCTAGTCTCTTTAGCTTCTTCGATTTTCTTTGTCACCACATCAAGGGTAAGTCCCCAATGGATTTCATCCTCAATGTCCTCAACTCTCCGCTGAAGTCGACGTATCTCTCATTGTATTTCTTCCCGAATAGCCTAAGGCATGTATCTCCTTGATGACATGGCTAGGGATTAGAGTTGGGAGGTAAAAGTGGGTGTAAAAATTGATTTAGGATTGCTAATTTTGAAAATAAGCAATGGAAAACTAGGGTTAGGTCAAAGATTGGTTATGGTTTTAGAATTGGAAAGCATTTGAAAATAAGCAAGGGAAAACTAGGGTTAGGTCAAAGATTGGTTATGGTTAAGCAATGGAAAACTAGGGTTAGGTCAAAGATTGGTTATGGTTTTAGAATTGGAAAGCAAATTTTGGTAGAGGGTTAAGACGGATGCTAGGAAACCCTAGAACAGGACTAGAGTTAGAGTGACTCTGATGCCAAATGATACCGGAGTTAACCAATAATCTAAAAGAAAAATAAATGTTATTACTCCAAACAACCAATTACAATCAAATGTCCCTGCTAGACCGGTCCCTTGGCGGATCTGACTCGTTCAGCCATAAAAATCCAGCGTTAATGACTACTGACTACAAAGTGAAACATTCGGTTAACTTTGTATCTATGATTGCTTCTCGTTCATTTAACTAAGAGGCCATGTTATCAAGCTAAGATGAAGCATGCTTGTATTATCAAGTTAAATGAGACTGATTCTTTCATTGATGACAAGCGATTCCAAATATAAGTATATAGGAGACCGATAAGTAAAAAGATAACAAACTTATGTTAAATCAATTGATTTAAACCCATAAGACATATGATCACTAAAAAAAAAAGGTTACTGATGTTCATACTGCCCGGTAATATCGAGGCATGATTGGGAACAGTCTTAATGATCCAACATTTCCGTTGTTGTGGATACAACTATAATGAATATCTCTTTGCTTCGCGCCAATGTTGCAGTTGTCTTGATTGGAGTAGGGGCACCATCAAGATCAAGTTTTCTATCTACAGCTTCATATTGCGCTTCAGTATATTTTGAAGAATTTTGAATCCCTTGGACCATCTAACTTAATAAAAAAAACATATTTCATATAGTTCGACTATAGTGAGTAACCTTGATATTGCAGGTTTTGATCCTTACTACTATGCCTTTTGCAGGTGTTAAGTAGAATAAGAAATGCTACAGCCTCATTGTTCCTCAGGTTATTTGGAAATGGTGCCAAAGAGGCCTTGTGAGAACAATAGAGTTTCAAGCCCACATTCATGTTTTCTCCTCCTTCCGGCAACGTTATCTAATAACCTGGTCTGGCAGATGATGCCAACTGAGCCTATATTGTCATGTTTGCTGGAGGGGAAATTCCCGTGTTGATTAAAAATCAAAGGAGTAGATCAAATTGGCTCCATGTTTCTTATTTGGCATGTCACCGCTCCTCCAGTCCCAAGCTCTTTATGCTTGAAAGAAAAACTTAGTTTTAAAAAAAAAAAACATCATCTGAATTTTAAGAAATAAATAAATAACATAATTGATGAAGCAATTCTACATCACAAGGCAACTAAACTGAAAAGATAGCTCAATCATTGGAAATTAATTGCAAACCTCTGTAGGAGAATTATGAAAAGTTGAGAGCCACCAAGCAAACTAACTTGCTCTAAAAAAGATGCCAACAGTTGCTCCTGAGAAAGAGCACGAATAACCATGTGCAGTACATCTTCAATGCACGCCATGTCTTGACTTCTCTTAAAAAATGCAATGAGAGCTATTATATCAGATGCAGAGATTCTTTGCCTGAAACCAACAAAAGGTTGGATATGATTGGGAAATTCAATAACAAAAACAAGAAGTTTCAGCACAGCTCTATAGATTCTATCTTACCTCAAACTCATTTCAGCAAGGCTTAATAGAAGAAGACGGATTTTGCGAATTTCTTCTTGGCCTGGTCTTTCACCAATTACTTGTTTGGTAGTCGAATGTAACAAAGGCTTGCATCCAATAGCAGATTGAATATCAGCTTTATCCCAGTAAAACTGACGGATTATATCAATAATGCGAGGGAGTCCACAAAGCATTGATAATAAGGCTACTTCCTTCTCAAAATATTGAATAAGAAACATGTAAAGGTCCCTTTGCACTTCATAACTCGCATAAACCCAAATATGTGGATTCAAATAAATATGTGAAATCGCTTCTTTAAGCAGTGATTCAGATATGCCTGCACTAGAAAAAACATTAAACAACAAAAAGAATTATAGAATAGATAAATGCATACCCAATGGAGAATATCATCTCATTACCACAAGTGCCCAGAACATCAAACAAGTTCTTCAAAGCTGAAAGAGTCTCCATATTTAATTGGTCCGGCGGAACTGACTGGAACAAGAAGCCAAGGATAGAAAGCCCTGACAGCTGATGCATTTGCTGTAGATTGGAAGGGTTTCCATCCAAAACAGAAGTAATAAGATCAATAATCTCAGCTGCAAGTTTATCTCTCATAATTGTTGTTATCAGTGTGTACTCACGCTGTACATTAGCAGATCCAGACTGATCAAACTGTGTCAAAAGAGGGAAAAAAACAGCAACACCACCGACACAATAGATTATTTCTTGGAGCAATCGACGAGAGCATAACTGTGTCCCGCCCATAATTCTTGCAGCACAAAAATTTTTATCTTGCGAACTATTAATCAGGGATGACACGTTGAGCAAACTACTACCATTGCTGGCCTAATTTAAAAAAAAAAAAAAAAAGTAGTTAACATAACAACTCTGGCACATTTGGACGAGTTTTTAGAAGCCAGGCAAATCAGAACAAAAAAATACGTGAATAAATTAAACAAAACCTGTGCATTCAAACCAAATATGATCTTCGACGATAGGCCATCTTTTGCATCTAAAATTACATCATAAAGTGAACTATCTGAAGCCAGGGGAATCTCATCACCAAGAAATGAATACATGTAACTTGGTCCAAGGGAGTATATACTCTTTATCTGCTCTGAAGTAAGGGTATCCGAAAACATATAAACTGGACCCATTTGACCAATAAAAGCACATGCCTTTTCAAAATTAACTTGGTCACTGCCTTCAATTGAAGGAGTATATTCTGCCCCAATTGTACACTTTGTCAAGGCATCACCAACTTTTGCATATCTTAAGAAAAACGGAAAAAAAAAAAACAATTATAGCTTTGCTAGAGTTGGAAATGAGATAGCTAACACGAGAAGCAAAAAACAATAATAATAAATAAATAAAAACACTCAACTGACCTACACTTTTCAGAGGACACCAAATCTCCGTCCACATAACATCTCACAGTGCTACCGCCAGAAAATGCTCTTCCTATACTAAGAATGAAGCAAAGAAAATACCATTTCCTAGGATGAAGATTGAGAGACAATGAAATGCAGAGCCTTTTTTGGTTGATGGACTGCAAAAGAAAAGGTAAATTATCATGTAGATGAAAAAAAGAGCAAGTGCAAGCAACTGAAAAATATAAAAAAACTATAGATAAAGTTTAACTACAACTATGTACGAACTTTTACACAGGCAAGGCTAATGTAATTGTGCATGGAAAGGGGTGGAGGAATGTAACAAACACAAGAATTTATGCAATGCAGCCCTATTCCCAATCATAGAGACAGATTAAAGGCAATGACAAATCCACAAGACATAAGAACACCTTCAGATTCACTTTGCACCAATTTTAAAGTAGATCCAAGGGGTATGAATATACTGCTTGACATACTCGAAACATTCCTTTCACAATTCATTCCTGCAAAGAATGGCATTAAAATGAAGACTCAATCTGTAGTTCATTGATGGGGCTGAGGCTTTTTGCAATAATGTTTTTCATTTTCATTTGGAGGTTATGTTGTCAATGGTACTTAAAATAAGTTTTAAAATTCTCATTGTTACTCTTGTATGTTGCTTCCATCTCTTCTTCCATGGTTGGAAATACAACACAGTTCCTCTGCCATGACTGATTGAGTATTCCACTTTTCTTTCTCTTTACTTTTCCTTTACTTCTTCCTTTTACATTATCAGAGACAGGTGGTCTTAAGCTATGGCTGACATTTAAAAAAGGGCCCTAAATGGTTCATGCAAAGGCGAGAAGATAAATTCTCCCTCCTTATCAAATCACACCATCATTTTGGGAGTCTTAGGACTCGCCTCATATTATGTAATACAAACTAAATAGGAAGAACTTCTTCCAATGGTCTGTAAAAGCGGGTTTTTATAATATATATAGAACCATCAGCATTGATTCAATTGAATCAAAATGACAGTTTCGCGGTTAAAACATACAAAGACGAAGGGTGCTCATGTGAGCAAGCAACAGAGAGAACGGGAGCAAAAAAAGTAGTGTGAAAAAGAGGGAGCGGACAAACAATGGCTGGGCAAACTGAAAGCAAGAGTGCAACCAGGTATGAGAACAAACACGGCTTGCAGCACAGCAACTTGGATGGACTAGTGACCGTGAGCGAGATCTATTTCTTAAAAATCGGAGGAGGTAAAGATTTATTTCTTCATATTTCTTCCAAATCAGAGACATTCATCCAAACTTGAGAGGATTGACCAAAATTTTCAACTCCAAATCAATAAATCCTTGTAACATTCTCTAAATTGCAAGTTTTTTCAGAAAATGTATCAGAAGAGAAAACCAAGAAGAGTAGTAGTCATTAATTTTACAAGAAGGAAAAGACAAAATAAATTTAAATTAAAGATTTTAAAATTTAATTTAAGTTGAGGAAATCTGAAATTTTATGGTAGGATTTTTATTCTATCTTCGCGGGTATCAAAAGCTTAATTTTGATGGGATAAATTAATCAATTGTAGAAGCAGGACTATGTCTTTGTGAATGAGAATATTGATGATGTAATATAAAAAACAAATAAATTTAGAGGTTGTTTCACAAGTACTTAGAGGCTAGTTTAAAAATAAGTATTGATCAAGTATAATTATATATTAAAGTGAAAAATATATTGATGAATACTGTAATTAAATCATTAAAAAGCATAACAATTGAAATAAATTTAATTAACACGGATATCTTACAGGTACAATTATAGGTATTCAACAAATGAGGGCAACTGTATTAAGGATTAATAAAGAAAGAAAATTATCTAAAGCCAAGATAGGTAATTATATTTCTATTTTATAGTAATTTATCGTTCCTCTAAAATTTGATGCACTAATTGATAATGACCTCTATAACAATATTGCATCAATTGCGACCATACACGATTACAATAGCATGAGAATGATGCATTGTCGTGTTAGCCTAAATTGAAATACCTCGATTGCAACAAAAATTAAACAATCAATTAATTTGACCAAACATCTTTATTATCAAGGACGCAGACAAAATGAATTACAGCAATAGGTTTGAAGCATCTAATTTATTAAAAAAGAATCTCCACAATCGATTTGACCAAATATGTTTATCAAAATCATGGGCAAGTGAGAGAATGGTGGCACTTTACTTTTAAATTAATTAGAATTTTCTTCATTGGTGGCACTTTCAATTTATTGGATGTTTTAATTGGTTAGTGATAGTATTCAAAATTTGAATTGTTCAACTGATTGTAGGTTCCCGCCTAGGTAATTCCTTAGCCCCGGCGTCAAAACTTTCAAGTCACAAAATCTTTTGTATAACTATAATTGTAGCAAATTTGATTAAAGTCCATAATGGTTGTAAAAGAAATGTCAAATTATGTAGAAGAAAAGAAAATAATAAAGCTATCACAAAATAATTTAAGCCTTGTGCCATTAAAAGGTGATTACATCCACAAAAGCCAATCCTTGAAGGAATTCACATCCAACCAAGCATACAATTAAATAGGAGAGGAAATATAAACATAAAAATTCCTATGGTTGGTAGAAAAACAAATAACAGCATTGGATGCAAAGTTCGTCAGCAATATAACAAGTTTGGGAGAGACCACATGTAGCTTATCCGTGGAAATAGATAATAAAGCACAAATCCAGTGAACCAGGAAGTCAACAAACCGTAATAAAGATCATACCCTCAGCCCTTGGAATTAGACAATTGAAATGGCAAATAACAGCAAAACTAAGCTGATCATGTGGCATCATGTCGAAGCCATCGTAAATTGCCAGGTAAAATAGCAAATTACAGCATACAATAGATAACATTAGCCATCAAAATAGATGAACATTGGCCGTGAACCCATATATTAATGACTGAATCAGCACAATATCCAAACCCTTGAAGCAGCAAATTATGAACACTTAAGCAGGAAAATCCATAAACAAAATCAAACCAAGCTAGGAGAACAGAATATTAAGGCTTTAAGTGACATCGTGTTCTCATAAGCATGCTCAAAACAAACAACAAATTAGGACTGTCATAAAACAATGAAATACTTAAGGAAAATTAAAACATTGCTCGTTTTTGATAAGCTTAAACTTGTGAACTCCCATAAGAAACCTATGCTTTCCTCATTTTAATATCTTGCTTTCTCAATTATTATAACTCCGAAGATAGTTTGTATTTCTATTAATGATGCAATTAGTTCATTTTAAAATAAATTTCCCAAGAAAATGTGAAGTCAACTATAGATGTTATTTTATATAATGAAAATGCTCCCAAGGGAGCTTTTTAGTCATCATGGAGTGCATTACAATAATTTAATTTTCTCTAAGGCCATTCGATGTATCAGTAACTCTATAGGTGGAAGGAGCTAGTTGAAACTGATTTTTCATAAAATTTAGGAACTTCAATAAAAGTTTAATAATAATTTTAATGAAATAAAAAAAAACAAAGACTTTAGTGCAAATTAGCCCTTCTCAATACCCAAACTAATTAACAAAAGGGAGCAAAGAAGAACTAACAATTTATCTTAAGAAAGGGTGAATTTACCTCAAAAATCAGTTTTTCTTTGCCAAGCATAGTCGAACATCCCCTTCCACTGTCAGAAAGAAAACTAAAAAGGCCCATAACACCATGGTTAGGAAACTCCTCTACCCTGAGCCAGCATGAAAAGGAAATCCCTTTATTGTTTGGGCACTGAAGAGGTTCATTTATAGAGATCCCCTGAACATTAGAAATGACACAATTATGCGTAGTCTTGAGTGAAAGGTAAAGAAATTAATTGAACAAGAAAATAAGCATTTCACTTATTGCGAAAGCAAAGATGAATATTGAGAACAATGTTATATGCCATATTTCTGCGTAATTTAACTTGCTAATACTTTTTACATTCAAAAGTTTTATAGAATATGCAATCAAATAAGATGATGAAAATACTATTGCATTATCATGTCAGTTTTAATCATACAATATGCAATCAAATACAACTGCATTATCGAACCATGTAGCAAGGCTAGGTCAAACAGAAGTTATCGATAAATGTTATTAAAATGAGCAAGAATCTCAACCTCTATTAAGATTAACATTAATCCTGCTTTCATAACAAAGGCTCTCTAATGGACCGAAGAATGTTCTGAATAACTACACTAAATGTTCTCTATCCATATAACTCATCACAGTAAGAAACCATAACAATCCAACAACCCATAATGCATATGGAACAGCATCTCTTAGTCTTCTATACATAAATGCACACAAAAGTTTGACAAGAATATTAACAAGGTTTGATGATGAAATAAAATGCTCGTGTGAAATGAAGATGATTCATAGACCATAAAGCAAACTTCTAATCAACGATGACCATAAAACCAGCACTAATTATTATCATCATCAAATATTTAGGGCCCATTTCATGAGCCCCTTCTGTTCGTCTATACTAAGTATTGAATATGGCGTTAAACCTACCTTTCACAAATAGCTTTGCAAAACGTATCATCCACATTAACTTTATCCATCTTTTTTCTTTATTATCATCGGATATAGTTTGATCTACCCAAATATTGGTGTATCAAATATCCTTGATTCAAAATGTCTAAACCACCAAAGTCTGCTTTTCCACAACCTCATCTCCAATGTATGCTACTCCAAGCATCAATCAAATACAATTATTGTGCAATATCCTTCCTAATTTTAACATGTCCCATGTCATTCTCATCATTACAACACTTAACTTTTGTAGGAATTACTTCACTTCAATATGATCGAAGAAATAGAAAAAACCTCCCTAATTGCCATTTTATAAAATACCTCTACAACACCAAGATATTCTCTTATGGCATAATTTTGAGCCACTTCATTATTTTAATCAACAGTAAATTTAGAATATATGTTCTCATCTATATCCCAATTCGTTTCTTAGATCAAAGATTCAATGATATATCCCACATAGGTATCACAAAAGCTTTTAGCATGTATGATTGCTAATAGTAATGTTAAACCCACTAAAATTACAAATATCACATACAATCATCCTTCTCCAATTCCCAAGCCCTATCTTAAGAAAACTCTCCACTGTTCTAACTTCAAAATTAGATCGATATTAAAAACAATCTTCCCTAAATTTCGTCCATAAGCAATGTGAACGAGAATAGATCGATATTAAAAATATTCTCAACCTCCAATCTTCCCCACTTACAAAAATTTCTTCATTAAAATTTAAAAACAACGCATCACACTTCATACCTCATTGAGCAATGTCAGCATTAGTTATCCATAAATTTTCTACAGGCTTCCCATTTTTTATAATTTCAATTGTAACCCTATGTCCTACCAATTAATTTGAGTTAACTTTTCAATTTTTATAATTTTTTTATAGTTATCCTATTGACCATTTCATTAAGATTTCACAAATTAATCCTAAATCTTGGACTGTGATACCACTTTTGTCACTGCCCGACTCGAGGCTTAGAATTAATAGAGGCGAGTACAGACAGTTGGAATGTGTGAATTAAACTTTCTTTATTCGTCTACAATTTGGCAAATGAAAAAGCCACTACAATTTAAATTAAACATGTACAAATAAAATTACCCCGTTGATAAATGTTCATGTCTTCTATAAACGTTTTCTTGGCTACCACTCATCTTTTAATAATTTAATTAAACCTGAAAAATTAGTTAAAATACTTGTAAGTTAAATGAGCAAGTGAATATTCGTAGTTCTAAACTACAACAATAAAAGGAAAAGAAAAAACAATATGCATGTCAGTTAAGCTTCTTTATAAATAAATATAAGCATTTGACATGCCATTTAAAGAGGTTTATATTATTCTCATATCAATATCATTTTATATTTATACAGTCATCACAGGAGGCACCGCAAAAAAATTGTGTCAATTAAGACATCAATATAAATATCATTTTCATTTACGTGCACGAGTACATTAGTTTTCCACCACTAATACCAGCAAGGGGTGTTCCAACTTAGCCAAGCATGCACATACAAGCATACTATAAATCATTTCGTTACATTCTAAATATCATCTAATATCTTTCTTTTATAATATGTACGAGTAATACATAAGTATAACAATGCAAATCAACCACATTCATTTCTAGATGATTAATTTGAATAATAAGACAGAATAATCATATTCTGGTTGCAGTAACAATGCGAAAGAATAGTTTGCCTTTTACTAAAATATATTCTATAAGTTGGGAATTTATTTTGAAGATTCTTTAGGCTCGAGGTTTCTCTAAGGAGTTTTGCAAAATTATCCTCTCTAGGCTTCATTGCAATAAATATAGCATTCTCATTAATGGCCAATCTCGGGGCTTTTTTAATGTGGGCCGCGGGATTAAGCAAGGAGATCCATTATCCCCTACTAAAAAAACTAATATTAGGATAGGATCTTGGAATATAGGTACTCTCAATGGTTAATTAATGAAATTAGTTGATATTATGATCCATAGAAAAATTAATATCTTATGTATTCAACAATCTAAGTGGGTTGGAGAAAAGGCTAAGGAGATTGTTAATTTAGGTTTTAAATTTTGGTATTCTGGTAAGAGTCGCACTAGAAATGATGTAGGTGAAATTATAGATAAGTGTTTGAACGATGATGTTGTAAAAATTAATAGAGTTGGAGATAAAATTATAGCCCTTAAGATTATCATTGATACTAAGATTTTTAATATTATATGTGCTTATGCCCCTCAAGTAGGTTTAGATACAGGGTCTAAAGATAAATTTTGAAATGACTTAGAAGACTTAATACAAATGATACCTCTTGAAGAAAAAAATTTTATTGGAAGAGATTTAAATGGGCATGTCAGTAGAGTGGTAGAAGATTTCAGAAATATTCAAGGTGGCTACGGTTTTGGAGTAACTAATGAAAAAGGTAGAGTTATTTTAGATTTTGCTTTAGCGTATAATTTTGTCATTACTAATACTTTATTTAAGAAAATTAATAATTTTGTCATTACTAATACTTATAAGAGTGGATCTAATAAAACACAAATTGATTATTTTCTTATGAGAAAAAGAGATCGTCGCGATTGTAAAGATTGTAAGGTCATTCCAAGTGAAAATTTAAGTCCCCAACATTGTTTATTAGTTTTAGATTTTAAGATTAAGAGTTATAAAATAAAAAATACTAGGACTCATCATCGTACAATTAGATAGAGAAACTTAAAAGACACATAAAATTATTTTTATGAGTAAAAAATTCAAGATTTCTATTAAACAAGTGACAAAAGTTGTACTCGGAGAATCAAAAGAAAAAGTTTCTATAAATAAAAATAGTTGTTGGTGGAATAATAATATGCAAGAAAAAATAAAATATAAGAAGTTATGTTATAAAAATTGGCTTAAATGTAAAAGCACATAAAACTGAGAAAAATATCAAAAAAGCCCATAGGAAGTCTAAAAAAATAATTTGTGACGCTAATAGTTCTGCTTTTAGTGATCTTTATAATAGATTTGATGTCAAAGATGGTGAAAAATATATGTATAAATTAGTCAAACAAAGAAAAAAGGAAAGTAAATATTTAACTCAACTAAAGTGTATTAGAGATGAAAATCAAAAAGTATTTTTTTAGAAAAAGATATTCAACATAGGTGGGTAAGTTACTTTGATAAACTTTTTAATGAAGTTTCTGAAAATACAATCGACCTTAGTGATCTTAATATCGTGAATAATAATAAAAAATTTCATTTTTACCGGCGCATTAGCAAAAAAGAAGTTCACGAGGCTTTAAAGAAAACCAAGGGTGGAAAGTCTGTAGGACCTCATGATATCTCAATTGAAGTGAGGAAATATTTGGGGGATTTGGAAGTTTCTTGGCTTACTAAACTCTTTAATATTATTTTAAAAACTAAAAAAATGTCTGAGGAGTGGAGGAAGAGTATTTTGGTCCCCATT